CCACCACCGCCACCGCACAATACAAATCAAAAACCAAAAAACCACCACCGCATAGCACAAATCAGGAACCAGCACTCCCAGCCACTCCGCAGCGATTTCGCTGCTGGAGCACCCAGCAGCGGATGCCTCAGCAGCGAAATCGCTGTCGGAAAAGCAGCGATTTCGCTGCTGGTTTCCCAGCAGCGAAGCTGCTCCAGGCAGCGATTTCGCTGCTGGGAAGCTGCTCTAGGCAGCGAAATCGCTGCTTTTTCGGCAGCGATTTCGCTGCCAGCAGCTAGGGGAGGGGAGGGCAGGGAGCGGCGGCCGAGAGGGAGGCGAGAGGGAGGGGGCGGCAGTAACTTTTGAGCAACGATTTCTTCTCGTGATGCAGGGATTTCCAATTGGAGAGAGAGAGGGGAGAGGTAGAGAGAGAACGAGCTTTGGGGGAAATGAGAGAGGTCGGCTTGATTTCTTAATTAATTGAATTAATAATATATAAAACACCTGATTTTTGAAAGATTAAATTTATCACCTCATTTTTGAATATGAATTTTTTTGTTTTTTTGAATATGAATTTTGAAAAGTAGGGTTTGGGGTAATTTTCTCTTAAAAAAAAGGAAAAAAGCCCACCCAACCTAGAGCCCATGTCTTTAAAAATGTTGAAAGAGCCCAGGCCAATCCTTCCCTTTCCCTTTCCCACCCCCCAAATTCCAATTGCCAATCCCTTTCATTTTCCCCAATTCTCCAATCTCCCCGACTGAAGATGACTAGCGACTAGCTTTCAAGGTATTCTCCCCAACTGGCGTTCTCCTCGACCGGATTTCTTTTATGGGTTATTTTAGTATTTATGTTATGTTGCATCATAATATTTCTTTATATGTTCATGTTGGAGTTTACCATTTCTTAAAGATAGGGAAAAATAGTAGTGATACGTGTTTACTTGCTAATATTGTGTACTATCATGTTAAATGATTGAAATTATGGGAACGTATGATTTTTTTGTTTCTCATAGTGCTTCTTTTGTTGATTTCTAATAGAGAGACATTACTTTGGCATAGAAAATGGGCCGAGTTCACGATGGGTGCGAGAAAATTCTTGTAATTTGTTCACTATGAAGAGAAATGGAAATGGAGTCATCAATTGCTGCTAATGGAGACGAAAGTCGATCAATAGAAGTGTTTGAGCCAGTAGGAAATGGGGATGTTTGGATGTCTTCTATTAGTTGGAATGACAATAATGATATGCAAGTACTTGAAATGCAAGGGTGAGTGTCTAGAATTCCTACCGGCAATAAAGAGGCTGTAAATAAATGGATGGCGTTTGAAGCTGAGCCTAGTAAAACTAAGATCACTTCTAGTGAAACTGTTTTCAGTTTGATCTAATGTATGTTTACTGATAAATTTCATTGCTACCTTTGAATAATTGAATTTCTAGTTCATACTCTCTATTCCTTGTTTGGGTGAAAATGGCTTAAGATTTGATGGAATTGTTTGATTGGACTTTGGAGAGGGATTATTTTGGTTCTAGGCACTCCAAACAGTTTTGAAATGCATTGATAGTTTGTTAATTTGGCAGGATCGACTGTAATGTAGAGTACGTGACGCTATTAAATAACCCGTTTTAATTAAATACTACATACTGAACATAACCCAAGTTTACATAAATGATGGATATCAAAAATGAATCTTTTTAAAAGTCGATAAAAACTTCTGTGTTGTTTTTTATTATCTTTATTGTTTAAAATTATTTTTTACGTAATTGTGTCTCGCCTCCCCGAACAATAATCATGGATCCACCCTTGATTATATGATCAACTCATTTGATTTGATGACAACTAGTAAGTCAAATTTATGGTTAAATTACTTATTTTTGGAGTACGATTTTTTAAATTTACCTTTTGTGATTCTCAATATATAATTTTGCACCAATTATGCAAATGAACATGCACATATATTTAATTACTAAATTAAAAAAAAATCTTACTTACAATTATGTAGGGCTGCACAAAAAAACCGTGAAATCGCAAACCGAATTGAAATTGTTAGTTTGAAACCGTTGGTTTGGGTCCACATGGACCTGCAATTTTTTTTTCCTTCAAACCGAACCAAACCGTTTCAAAATGGTTTGGTTTAGGTTTCAATTTTCAAAAATTGCATAAAATCGAACCGAACCGTTTTTTTTATTTTTAATTAAAAAATTAATTTCATTAACTTACAAATTTTAAAGTTTTCACTTTTTTAGAAAAAAAAATATCAATTTAGCAATACAAATTACAACCAACCCATTAAAATAATCGTATAAAGTAAATTGAGTTCATCATTATTGTCCGATAGTTTTATAAGTCCACAACACACGTCGTGACCCGATATCTAATCTAAACTAAAATTAATCACAAATCATATGAAAAAATATTTATTTTCAACCATCCAAATCATAATACATCAAAACTATGACAACAAATCACGCACACAACATTAGAAACTACCTAAACTTTCATTTCTAAAACATTTGGCGTTTATCTGCCACTGCTGAATAAAATGTGATTCCCAATTACAAATCTTTAGTCGTCTTTTGCTTGTTAGTCTGCTAATTTCTACTAGAATCATCATTTCTCTCTTCTCTCTTGATAAGTATTAGATTCTCATTCAAGTCATTTTTTTATTCTTTCTTTTATTTGTTGTTTTTTTAACTTATTATACACTTATGAGTTGCGATTTGGATTAAAAAAATGACTATTTGTGTGCCTAGGTAATTAATAAACTATTTGTCGTTTAAAAAGAACAAATGATAGAGCGTATTGATTGTGTGAAAATGTTAAAGTTCCCTAACTAGTATTACTACATTCTACTTTCGTAAAGTCATTAGATAATAAAATTTGTCAATTTCCAATAATTCTATCATTCTTTGTACATTTAAATACATCATGTTTAGTCCTTATTTTTCATCTTCCTAGTAGGACAAAAGAAATTTTAACCAAACTATTATAGCAGAATGTGACTATATCTTTTACCAACTACTATATAACAATATGAAATGCAAACAAGAAAAGGTAAATAAAAAGGAATAAAGATATATTTGTTATATTAACATCTTTTAGCAACCAATTTTGAAAATAATTTATTCACGAGTTCTGTGGGAAAGATGAATGTAAATAAATATTTAACATTATTAATTCTCATNAAATAATTTCTTCACGAGTATCGTAGGAAAGATGAATGTAATTTAACATTTAACATTATTAGTTCTCGTTTAAACTTATATGTTAACTTATTTTAAATATATTATTATAATGTCGATAGATAAACCGCGGATTAAAATTATGGTTTGGTTTGGTTCGAAAAAATTCCAAACTGTATGAACTGGTTTGAGTTTAAAATATAGCACAAACCACTCAAACCGAACCGCGTTCACCCCTACAATTATGGGACTTTAGGATGGCAACAAGGTGAGGTTGAGGCAACCTCCCCCGTCTTGTCCCCGCCCCCAATACCCGTTTAAGGTGGGGTGGGGCGGTCGTTTACGACCCCGTTTAATTTTTTATTTTTATTTTTAAGTTTTGGATAATTCATTTTATTGTCCACATTTATTAGACTAAGACAATAATCTATTTTTTAAACTTTTACTTATTTTTAAAGTTAAATTATTCAAATATATTTGATAAACTAAGACTTTTATTATTTGTCATTTTTTTAGATAATTTTAGTTGTCATTTTCTATTAGAACTAATGAAATTTCGTGAAATTTTTCATTTAAAGTATTGAATTCTAAAAAAAAAAAATAAACGGGGTGGGACACCCGTTACCCGTCCCCGCCCCAAACCTGCACAGGGCAAAGTTACCCGCCCCGTTCCCGACCTGAATATCCGATTAAGCGGGTAATCCCTGCCCCATTTGGGGTGGGGTCCGCGGGTATCGAGTTTGTCGGGGTTTTTTTTTTTTTGCTATCTCTATGGGACTTTAATTAATTCACATACTTAAAAGATAATTTTACTCATTTAAATGTTCAAGGTATTAACTTTTAAGTAATTAGCTTTCAAAATAAAATTAATTTTCATTCAATTGTGAGTAGAAAAACAGTTACCCAAAAATCTTGGAATAGAACTTCTATGTTTAGCTTCAAAGTTTGTTAAAAAAAAAAGATGTAATACAAGAGTTTATACATAATAAAGAGGGATATGTGTAAAAACTGGAGTAGAATGACATTTTCTATTGCGTAAAAATACTTTATAAAGAGGGATTTATTTGACACTTCTCGTCCCACTCAGGCGTTAGCCCCGAGAAGGACAGAAGAGAAAACTTCAACTTCGACCCATTTTGAAAAAAACGATTTTGCTATTTGTACATTGCTATTTACCACCTTGATGGTAGAAAGTGTGTGGTCAAAAAATTAGTGTGACATTCTGTCATAAAACTGGTCAAATAGGATGTACACTAGAATAATTCCATAGGTACCGTACAAGAAATTATTGACAGAAATGATACAGGTGCAGCACTGGCACCATCTGTATAATGTTTTTTCTATGTTTGTTGTGTTAAAAATCAATGAAAAATTGTCAAAGCGTCTTTTTCTAAGGATTCTACCAAATTCGTTTCTGTACTAGTAGGAAAACAGCGCACACCTAGCATAAATACTTCATTAATTAAACAATCCTGGCAAAGACTCCGTCATGTATGTCCTGCAGTGTCCATGTGAAGTGTGAACACTATTATTAATTACAATTTGATATGCTAAATTAAAAATTTAGACAATGTTAGATTTGAATCACAAAAAGAGTAATGTATTGCTTTCAGTTTTCCTTTTTTAAAGAAACATTTATATTGTTGTTATCGTCAATAATTTTTTAATTAGCGATGAAAAAAACGAAGAAGCAACCGATCTTGAAGCGTACGATCAGGAGTAAAAATCTCTTAATACTTAGTTGACTACTATTTGCTTGCGCTCATTTATTCAATTATTATTGGGATCGCAAGCTCCAATGGCTATACAATTTATTAGAATTAATGAAATGGTCATAGTTGTAAAAAGTTTGTCCACGTTGTCAAGTAAGAGCACTCCAAATTAGACGTCTTCTTTAAGACCCACGTTTGACGTATTTTTAACTATTTTCGATATCTGTTTCTGTTCGATATGCCCATAATGTAGTTTTTGAAATAAATTTCAAAATAACATAAGTAATTTGTAGATTCGATTAACGTACGATTGTTGAATTTTTTTAAAAAAATTTACGTCCAATTATTAGACGTCTTTTTTAAGACTCACATTTGACGTATTCTTAACTATTTTCGTTATCTGTTTAGACTATTCGATATATCCATAATGTAGTTCTTGAAATAAGTTTCGAAATGACACAAGTAATTTGTAGATTCGATTAGCGTACGATCGTCAGAAAATTTTTAAAATTTACGTCCAATTATTAGACTTATTTTTTAAGACTTACGTTTGATGTATTCTTAACTATTTTTGATATCTGTTTGGACTATTCGATATGTCCATAATGTAGTTTTTGAAATAAGTTTCGAAATGACACAAGTAATTTGTAGATTCGATTAGCGTACGATCACCGGAGAATTTTTAAAATTTACGTATATTATCGAAATTCAAATTTATTTTGATTTTGCCCCCGTTTGGTGGAGATTAAAATCAATTTTTTAGTAAATTTTGATAAAAGTTAAACATTTATGGATTTCATAAAATATTTTATTAAAATTAATTGTTAACTTTGATTTAGATTAAAATTTAAATTTCAATCGATACCAAACATGATTGTATAAAAAAAATTTAACAAAAGACAAAAAAAATAAAAAATGTAAAAGTAGGTAGCTTTGCCTTGTATAAGTCGTACGATCGTCGAAATTTTTTAAAAATTAGCATGTTATCGAAATTCAAATTTATTGTGATTTTGCCCCTGTTTGGTGGAGATTAAAATCAAATTTTTAGTAAATTTTGATAAAAGTTAAACAGTTATGGATTTCATGAAATATGTTATTAAAATTAATTGTTATCTTTGATTTAGATTAAAATTTAGATTTCATTCGATACCAAACATGATTTTATATAAAAAAAAAATTAACAAAAGAAAAAAAAAAGTTCTCAGCCAAAGCTTAAGTACTTCTCCTGCGCGCCACGCGCAGGAGAACGGGACTGAATGCTTAAATACTTCTCCTGCGCACCACGCCCAGGAGAACGGGATTGTTAAAACTTAATTTAAATTTCCTCGGTCCATACTCCCTGCACTGTTCGATACTCAAAACTGGCAGCTTCTCACTCAACGGTGTTCTAATCGATTGAACTAAAAACTTCATTTCCTCTTTATTTGAACAAATCGGTTTAAATATTAGCCAGGTCGATCAATCCAAGCTTATTACGAAACATATGAAAACAAGAACGTGATCCCAATACAATGAGTTGTATTATGAAAAACAATGGACGTGTATACAAACGTATCGGGAAAGTTCAGTGCCATTTAAGAATTTTCTTTATATAACATTTTCTATGAGAGTTTTTTAACATATTAGCATAGTTTAATATTTTTCAGTCCAAACTTTGTCCCTGCATTAACTACTGTTATTTACGGTTAACAGTTGCAATGTTGTTATTGGTGTATAAGTCAAAGATTGAAGCACCCATTTGCAAATATATTAAACATTTTAATTGTGTTTTAGATGTGGACTTAGATGATTACCACTGTGTTAGTCACATGTCACATGGTTATGATACATTTATGGAACTGTTGTGCACAAATTATTCAAATGAACAAGCATAGAAATTGAAGTACTAAATGGAAATAAATCTTACTTATAATTATGTGACTTAAACAAATTCACATTATGTACGTAAGGTACGTTTGATTGCGAGTATGAAATTTGCAAGGAAAGAAAATAAATTTTAGGCGATTCAATTATTTAGACCTTATTTGTATGTAAATTATTAATTAAATGTGTTTGATTGATATAGTTTTCAACTTAAAAAATATTATATTTGTCCATTTTTATTGGTAGGTAAATGAGAGAGTGGATAAGTGAGAAAGAGAGAGAGAGAGTGGGTGAATTACCGGAAAATAAAAACTACCCCTAAATAAAATATTTCCCTTATTTTTAAGGAAAATATAGTCGCGTAACCAAAAGTAGAAAACACTTTTCATGAAAAAAATTGTCAATCAGTACAAAAATAGAAAATTAGATGGAAAAAAAACACATTTTTCATGGAAAATATTGGCAGTCAAATGCACCTGACAATTTTTACTCATTTAAATGTTCAAGATAATAACTTTTATGTAATTGTCTTTTAGGATAAAATGAATTTTTCACTTAAGTGCGAGTAGAAAAACAGTTACCCAAGAATTATAGAATATAACTAAATCTTCAAAGTTTCGTATGAACAATAATACCAAGAATGTTTACATAATAAGCAGGGATTAATTTTTGAACTCTTTGAATATTTGGCACTTCTCATCCCAGCAACCACTCGGGGTTGGACCAAGAAGAGCTAAATGGGAGCCACCGGGCACATCCCAACTGGCAACGAGGCTTTTAATTGCTGGCAGATTAGAGGTCGCGAGTTCAATTCGTGAGGCTCTTGGAAAGCAGGCTCTCTCCTAGAATGCGGGATTTATCCTGGAAGGCAAGGTGCAACATGTGTTGACTCGCTCGACACTTTGACAGATCAGTGGGGGAGGCTCTTGGACCCTGGCCAGTTTGGGGCACATCTCGCGGTTTTAAACGAGTTATAATGGGAAAGTTCGGCTTTGGCATCTAATCCCTATCCTATCCTAACACATCTAAAAGAGGCAGATTTCTGACGTCTTCGTCGCCCAATACGACGCCGTTCCGTTCTTGCGCGTGTTTTCCTTCCATTCGTCATTTTCCACTTCCTAAACTGCACACTTGCCCTATTTTCTCTGCAAAATCCATCCACCCACCCACAACCCTATTTTCTCTGCAAAATCCATCAGCTTGCTTCACAGAGGTGACACTACATCCATCCATCCTCGACAACACCGCTGCCTCCGGCAACGAGGCACCACCTCCGTGTCTCTGCTCTACTACCAATTCCGGCGACCCAGTTGATTCCGCCGAAGGTATTTATTATTTTCTCTTCCCCGTATGCAAAAACTGCTTTTTATTCTCTCTTTTCATGTTCTGGTTTCTCTTTGATTTTGCTTCGTAGGGTTTATTTAATTGAGGTCATTTTCACTGTCAAATTGCTTCGATAACTACATGTATGATTTCTGCATCTGCTCGTGTTTTATAATGGGTTTCTTTTCAATATTCTTTAGTGACTTGCTTCTGGAAATACGGTTGGTAATACGGATGGGTTTCTTTTTGTAAATTGTATAGTGGACATGATGCTATTCTTTGGTGCTTTCAGGATGATTCATATGTTGACAGCTATATTAGCACCATTGGAGTGGATTTTGTGAGTTTTATTTTCATAATCCCTTTATTTATGTTGATTAGATTGCAAATAGTTTAGTTATTTTCGGGTCTTTGGCTCTGTTTTTATTGGGATCTAATATAATTATCCATAATCTATCTACCTTTATTTTTACCTTAAAAGAGAGAAACCAAGATTTACTAATGAATTAGAGTATATTTGCTAAGCCTTGAAAGTTTACTTGTAAGTAAATAATAAGTTCTAATGTTAAAGTTGAAAATTAGAACATATATGGTCTTGCCAAAAGATAAGTCAATTTTACTTTTTAAGCTACTTATTTTCCAAAAATATGATCCACTTTTAGAAATTAACAATATTTACTCAAAAGTAAGAAAATAGTAAATTATCGAAAAGGTTGTTAAAGGACACTCTGCTTCCCCATCTTTTAACAAGGTGGAAGAACTCGCTATTGAAGACGACGATATGTTTGAAGGAGAGAATAACAGGTTTTCAAGCATTAAGCTGGAAGAATAATGGGAGCTCTACATAACTAAGATTACAAACATTACCAAAAATAACTAAAAATCAATCCACGCCAGACCATATACTGCATATACTGAAACTTCCCTTATTTACTCTTTCCCTAGCCTCAGTCTAAATGAGCATCTTTATGTGTATTTGATGCTGTGCATATATCTTTGTTTGAACCCATATGTAGGTATAGATTTCTAATATGAAATGATGAATTTGAATTATTTGATTAATTTATTTTTTGTTTACTGACACTTTCTACGTTTTGCTTCAGAATTTTCTCCACTTCGAAAGACGAGTCTTCCCCTCCGAAGGCCATTGACTTTGGACTCTCTGATTATGTAAAGCCAGGTTAATTCTATTGCCATTTGATGCTCTTCTCATCATTGTGATATATGAAGTTGATTAATAGCTATTTTTGGAGATGGAAGGCTTAATGATATTGTTGGAAGTGCTTATTATGCGGCACTTGAAGTTTTGCATAGATCATATGGAACAGAAGCTGACATGTGGAGTATTGATATTATTGCTTACATTCTTCTTTGTGGAAGCAGACCCTTCTTGTCTCGAACAGAATCTGGAATCTTCCGAGATGTCCTAAAAGCCGATCCAAGCTTTGATGAAGATCCATGGCCTTCTTTGTCTTCTGAATTGGCACATTTTCTACTGCATTTGACAACTAAAGGGAAATGGTGTTTCAAAGGGTATGAAAAACATTCTGGTTTTTTGTTTTAGATTTTAACACTTTTTTTTTTCTTTTTATGTGATGAACAAAAAATACCTCAACTATGTTCATTTCATATATATATAAGCAATGGATTGAGGATGCAGAAGTTGGAGGAGCTGAGCAAGAACTTAGAACCTGTACACATAGCATAATGTAGACAACTAATTAATAAGGTTTGTGTGACATGACATAACGTACTATTTATATTAACGTGGGTGTTTTAAGTAGAACTTAGAAACGGTACACTTAGCTTAATATTGACAACTAATTAATAAAGTTTGCGTGACATGACAAACGTTCTATTTATATTAATGTGGATGTTTTGAGTTTTGGAATTATATTCAATAGTTTTCTTATTTGTTTAAATAGCTGGTAATGTAGCATTTCATAAAGCGCACTCTTCTAATATAGGTTTTATAACTATATAAACTGATCCTAACTTCCAATTCCTCTTCTTTTATATTTATTTATCCCTTTATCTTGTATTATATTCCAATGACCTTAGATACCAAATAAGCCTAATGTAGCTTCTTCACATGCCCATTTAGTGGCATGTTCCAATCAAGATGTTTCGGTCCTTTAGCAGTCCATTCATGGACAATAGAGCTAAGGGTTGTGAGTTATGCTTCTTAATAAATTTTGTACTCATGGTCATTTTATAACTTAGGTCTTTCTGCATTTCAACAGTCATATACTTGAGCCGAAGAGGATACTTTAATATAGCGACGCAAAGAGCTCCTGAGTTACAGGTAATTTTTGATTGTTGGACACTTCATACCTTTCTTTTAGACATCAGTTACATCCATTTTTTCTTCTTATTCTTAGTTACGAATTTACACGGTTTGACTTTTCCATAAGAAGTACAATCTTCATGCTTCTAAGAGCAATATCTCATCACCTCTTCTGAATTTTGCTGAAGTGAGATCAAGGTTCTCATTCATCTTTAATTCTGATAATCATGTTTACGCACTACTTTTTCGCTACATTTGTTCATTCCTTATTGCTGTTTTAGTTTTGGTAATTGTTGTCCTTCAGTGTTGCTATTTTAGTCAGATACCTGAAGGAATTACCAGGATATAAGTTAGCTCAACTCTTTATGAATCTCTTACTTTCAACTGGTAACAAACATGTTCTAATGCCATTAATCGAAAGCTAAATTATTTCTAACAAGTTGCCTTCAAATTTATTTTTCTATCCATTTTAATTATGTCCTTTTCTTAGACACAAATTATCTTGATTTACCTTCTATTTGTGTCCTTTCACTCTTCTCATGTGTTATAGAGCTACATTCTCTCCTTACTAAAAACTTACTATATTTAATTTGCATTCATTTATCACTAGATCCTTGAAGAGCAGCTTATATTGTTGAGACGATTTATGAATGATGCTTCCAACCTCGTTTTACAAGAGTATGCAATTTTAGATTTCGGCTTCGAAATCAAATGCGATAACAACTACAAAATGAAAAAAAAAGCATAAACAAAAAAACTAAAGGCAAACATCAACGTTATCTTGATGTCCGCCTTTTGAAAGCATACATAATTGGCATTATACCAATGGCTGGTAAATCATGAACACCAGCTGAAACTGCTAAATGTAGACATGGAAACATTGTTCATGATGAGTACTCTGAAATTCTTCAAGTTGATGAAGAGAACCACAAAAGCATTGTTGACATTTTCTCCATTCACTCAGAAAATGAGATAGGTAATCCTAAATTTCAGAACAGCTCTTTACTTAAATAGAATTAGAAATCAACAAGAGCTAAAGGATAAATAAATTATTGCTTAGAAAAGAGGATAGAACACAAATAGAAAACCCAGAAAGAATGTAGTGGCTAAGTTTCTTGATATGAGCCTTCTTCATAATAGAGAGCATACCCTATTAGCTATTGTTGTCACAGTTACAATATGTCGTGACTTGTGTAACTCCGCATTGCATTAATTGGTTAAATTTACCTATTCCAACATTTCTTTTACCAAATATAACCTGCAGGTCCTGCATATCAAAATATGAGTTATACTGATGCTGATGAATCTTGCTCTTGAGAATTTTCACGAGGAGATCATTCCTAGAGAGGATTATGTGCTTTCTATTTCGAAACAGCAATTCATTGATGCCTTGATGGTACTTGATTTTGTGGTTTCTTGTCCGGTCAATCTCGTCTTTTATTAAGATATCATATTTCTTGAGCACATGCCAGATTGAATATTAATAATTTATCTTTCATCTCCATCTCTCTTTCTATAGATATCTCTCTATTAGCTGTCCAGGTTTTGGCTGTAACTACTGTTTTAGGAGGGTGGAGGCACATATAGATAGTCTTATCTTTTGTTGAAAGTGCATGCACCAGCTCTACACCATATACAGTTCTATCTTTCTTCCTTCATCATCAACAAGTTGGCTGTAATCTATTCAGATTAGAATGGCATAGTATCTTTGATGTAATTATACACCATGATTTTCTCACTCTTTACTTCTTTAAACTGTTGGAAAGTCCTGAATCGAGAAAACTAAATAATATATCTGTACAGGCTGCTAAAATTTCATGGCAGTTGCTCCTTGCACTTTGGAGATTACTCTTTGTTTTTGTACTTCCTTATCAGATTGCACATGGTGGTTCAAATTATTTGTTCTCTCCTTTGTGTTGAAAAGTGAAATGAAACCTTGTTCATTATTAGTTAATCCTCTACTCTCATATGATGCTACATGCATTTCCCATCTAATGTCAAACTGTCTAACTCCGCCTGTCCAAAAAGGGGAAATGGATAAATACCATGTGCCGCTAACCCGGAAATGGCTTTTCCAAAAGTCTTTAGGAATGGTTCTTCTAAGCACCTTTAAGCTTATCCAAACCTATCAAAAGGAAGAAAGTAAAAGATCGAATACACCTAACCCAACAAATAGATAAGCTCAACCGAAAAATATCCTTTGTAAACATAAATATATGACATCGTGCAAAATAGACTCTCTATAATTTCTTTTTGGGGCAACTAAACATGTGTTTATTATTAAGTGTGTTTGGCCCCCATTTTAAAGAAATTTTAATTTTTGGAATAGTTATTGATGGAAGAATGTATGGTTAAAAAAGAAGGAAAAGTTTTTGATTTGTGTGTAATATTATTTTAATGAAAAATGTGTGGTTTAAAATGAGTACGGTAGAAATATGGATGAGAAAAAAATGGAAAGAATGGGGCTCAAACATAGGCTAAATGTTATAGGGCTTCCAAAAATGAAATGTGGTTGAGCTCTATAAACGGCTTGCTTGTGCTATTTATTGAACTAATTAGCTCGGTGAAATGCTTGTTCAAGTAGAACATTCTTAATTCAGTGACCTGATTACTGACTGAATTTTCCTATGCAGAACTATGAAAAAAATAGAAGACAGATGCAAAAACTTATTTCTTGTGCGAGCACTATGTTAAGGTTACCCATTTTCGAGCTTTGGAGAGACCTAAGGAAGATGAATTCTGCCTAGCGCCGTGAGTACTTTCCAATACCATTATTATGGATAATAGAGAAGACAGTTTTCCTTTTTTATGTATTTCTAAGCAACATCAAGCATATATGTTTTTATCCATTTTGGTATAAATCTCCAGGGTAGACAACTATACTTATGATGATGTTGTGGAAAGCCTAACCAAACATGTTCTTGGATAGTGAAGTTACGCCATTTAGTTTATTTTCGTTTATCGTACAATTATAGACATTTGATTAGTTGATCTACTTAGACACATAATGATTGGATATATTGCTTTCAACTTAATCTCGTATATCTTTATTTGGAAGCTTTATAGCTATTACCATGTTGTTACATTGCTAGGATAAGTACAAAAATAATAATAGTACTTTATGCTATGAATCAATTTTCTGATAAAATTAATTTTATTCACTGCACAAACAATCTTTTACTTTTAATTTAATTATTCTACTTATCCACGTTTTTACGGTGTTTTCCTGTTCATCGAGGGAAGGTATTCCGAATCAAAATTTGAAAAACATGGGGATGCATCATCGCCAGTCGGATTTCCACAATGATGATGGACCTGAACATCACTACTCTGGTGCAGTACGCCAGTTACCTGAGCCTCCGAAACCTCTCAAACATGGCGTTGTTGTGTAAATATCTCCAAATGGCTGCCTATTCTGATTCCATCTAGCAATCGCCTTTCAGGTTTTTTTTTTTTTTAAATTTCTTTACTTTTTGTTAGGCAATTTTTTGTTTTTCTAATAAATTATTCTGCTATTTGTACTAATTTGTGTTTCGCTGTGATTTTGTAGTGGAATTTAATAATTTGCTATTTTAATTGAAATTGTTTTCAATATCTAAGAACATATTTCATTAGGCTTTAATTTTTCTTTTTACTCAATAAAAAGATTTTTTTAAAAGTGAAATCATCTCTTTATTCTCGATTTCTAAGAGTAGTTTTGTCTTTTCCTAAAGATGCATCATGCATGTGGCTACAAATATTGAAAGTCACATCTCTCAATGTTCAGGTTTCTCATTTACCTTGCCGGTTTACAGAGATGCATTCTCTTGGGATATGTTTGCATATCTGTGCGAGTATGATTTTCCACCTTGTGTATCATTGGGTTGAACTTAAGATATGTTAATGAAGGTTGAGAATAAATCAAGTACCATCAGCTCTTGTAATTTATTATTGAAAATACTTGACTTTGTTAATTCTTAGATTAAACAACTACAAGTTTGTAGGCATTGAATATTTCCTACATATGTGCTAAGGAGTATCTGTAACAAGTACATTGTTTCTCTGTCTATATTCTCATTTATGCTCAAAGTATTCAATAATTGAATTGGTAAAATATAATATATTAGGTTAAAAAATTTACTCCTTCATTAGTTATACTCTTTATCCTCTTGCATGAGGTGTAAATTTTGGCATTTTCTTGATGAATTTAACCTAATGGCAACCCTATTTTCCAAGTGATGTTACAAGCTCATCGAAATAGTTATCGAAGAATTGTAACCTCCTCTTTAAATTAAATCTTATCTAAAATATATTATTCTTACCTTTCTGGCTTATTCATTGTCATTCTAAATTTTCCTATTTATAACTCGATCAATTTATCTTGTATAATGTACCCAGAAGTTCGCTCAATTACATCTATAAAAATTTATCCAAAATATCCAAATACATAATCGTTCACACCGGAATTGGCCGGTGCAAACAAATTTCAGAAGAAATGGTAACATCCAACATTTAACTGTAGGGTCATCAGCTTATATTACCGAAAAGAACTTCAGATAAATCACCTGTACATATTCAAGCTTGTCAACGATGAAATTCCAATCTTCATGATGTACAAAGTTTCTCCGACGGATGAAAGTTGGAGATTAACATACATTATATCGATGTATTTCATGTTTAGTTATTATCTTGATTTTGTCTAATTTTGTACGAATACTATATACTAGAGAAATAAATCTATTATAACTTGGATTTATAATCATCATTTCACGCTATTACATACACAATTAAACTAAAACACGTGCATTGCACGTGGCTCGACTAGTACATCTAAAAGAGGGAGTTTGTGGGCCCCATCGTCAACCATAACGACACCGTTTCACATTTCCCTCGTTTCCCTTTCACTCTCGCCCTCGTTTCTTCACAATTCCTTTTCATTCTCTCCCCACACAAAATCCCTAGCAAATCTGAGAAATGCTTCTCCTACCCGTGCCTCCATGTCTCGCCGCCGCCGGAAAGGTAGGTTCTTGCCACCTAAAATTTACCGACAATGAGACATGAAAGTGTCTCCCTCCCTCTCGTACAGAGCTAATGGGACATGACGGAAAGGTAAATTATTTCCATCTAAAATTTACCGACTGTCGCTCCTGCCTCCATCAGTGTCTCTGCGAGACACGGGGGCACCGCACAGTGCCTGTATCTGAGACACGCGGTGCCGTGCCTCCGTGTCTCACACGGAGGCACCGCGCGGTGCCCATGTTTCTGCATTTATCCAGTCAATGGCTAGAGAAATTGCAAGTTAGCAAGGGTTAAAGATCACATTTTTCATTTTCACTATTTAATTAAGCTTAGGTTTGGCATCTATTTATTTCCTACGATTTCATCAAATTATGGAAGTGTGGTTTTCAGATTGGTTCTTAAATTTCAATGGTTCCTCGAATAATTGATCCCAATTTAGATAAATGATGTATGATTTTGTTTTCACTGCCAACGCAGTGGGTGATTTGGGGTGGGGCTGTGCCGGCCGTGGTGGATGATTTGAGATTTACTTTGAGTAATTTATTTTACATATCAGGTTAATTTGACCTTTATTTTTGTTTCTTTAGATGTCTTGTGTCTTTCGTGGATTTTATAATTTTGTGCAGATTTTTAGATTTTGTTTTTGTCCATTTACACTTCTGTGTAGTTGTTTGGATATGCATGTTGGATTTTTATGAACCATATTCAGCCTATTCGAGATTACATCTGAAATCAATTGAGTAGCTCACTTTTTGCGGTGTATTTATTTATGGGGCATGCTCTCTGTCCAATTGGATTGGTTCCTCTCTTGCTTCTAGATTCCCTAAATATTTTTCTTGGCTCTATTTCTCTCTATCCCTTCTAATAACCATGTAATTTCTTTCTTTAAGGTCCTTTTGATTTCTTTCAAGAAATGTTATTTTGGATGGAAAGATGCTGTCTTTTTGATTGAATAGTTGATAAAAAGATGGGTTCTTTCAGAATTTTTTTGGGGTTGAAGTAAGAAAGGAAAAGGCGCTAGATAAATAGGTTCTGTTCAAAAAAAAATTGAAACCTGGAGGCTTGGTTGGTGGGGCGCAAAATCTGCTAGAAGAGATGAAACTGTTGAAGGAAATGCAGGATCATTCTGGTTAGTTAATTTCATTTGTTTTCTTACTCCAATATTTTACCTGGCATAGATTTGTTTTAGTAGTAGACTATATACTAAGTGGATTTAAGTGAGAGCGAAAACTTTAAAATTCATGGGTAAGATTTGTTTTAGTAGTAGACTGTATACTAAGTGGATTTAAGTGAGAGTGAAAACTTTAAGATTCATGGGT